TTTTTTTTTTTTTTTTTTGCGTAATTACATATTTTTAAATTTATTTTTTTCCTGCAAAATATTCTTTTGATAAGCTCGCAATAACAAAAATATTATGCAACGTGCTGCAAAATTTCAAATTAAATCAAATTTTCAAACAAAAAACTTATTTTTCTATAAATTATAGTTGTTGAACTTAAATTATACGTACATGAAATCTCTCTCTTGTTTTTTAAGATTTAGGGTGATACGGATTCTAAATTTTTTAAAAACATGACGGGTGATGTACTAGTTTATAATAAATACATTTTTATATGAAATAGGCGTTTTGACTTAAACTACAAATTCGTTATTTAACATTAGAAGTCGGACCTCCTTTAATAAAATTTCTAAATTTGTCACTGATTGTCGTAATAAAATTTCTAAATCGTTATTTTGAATGAGAAGCATGTTTAATTAAAAGTGTTTGTTCTATTGTTTATATTTTTGATAATATATGTCAACCTTGTGCATCATGGACAAGTTTGTAATTTTTCACAGACAAAAATTATCTCACCCCCTATGCCCAAATCCATTAGTCCCGGTTTTTCACGAGTTTAATATAGTGCATCGTGGGCCCTATCGATCGGACCGGAATCACGGTAAACAAACGTGAGGTTATGAGTGGATTGAAGGCGTAACAACTAACAACTAGGTCTGTAAATGAGTCGAGCTGGAGTTTAGGGTGCTTGAGCTTGAAGCCGAGCTCGGTTCGTTAAGACTTCGAACTCGAGCTTTAACGAGTCGCCCTATAGAAAATTATAAAAGTTCTCTTTTCGAGTCTTATCGAGTCAATCTCGAACGAATTATAAATGAACTCAATCTCAACTCATTAAGGCCTTGAACTTGAGCCAAAATCGAGCCTTAACGAGTCGAGCTCGAGTCAAGCTAAACTCGTTTAATTTAACAACACTATTAACAACAAATTAGATCTAGGCTAACAAGACACACTAGATCTAGATGGATGGATGAATAGAAAATATAGATGATAGATAAAATAAACATATTTCCAACTCTTCGTCATTTGTATAAACCTCCCAAAACCCCTCCCCGGAGAGAAGGGTCTACAAAATCTCATTCTTGTGACAGTGAAAAAGGGAAGAACTTTGCCCAGCCATGATTGAAAATCGATTAATTGTGCTACTGAGGAAATCCAAATCTTTATCCCAAAAACTTCTGTCGCCGACTACGAAGGAATGGAAAGCATCATTTTCCTCGCCTGGTGTCTTCGCATGTCAGTCCCAAGCTAGATTTTACTCTTCATTTCCGAGACCTTGTCCTGCTACCAAAACCTCGGTCGTACAAAGCTGCTTTGGCAGTGGATTAAGGTCGTTGCTTCAGAATAATTGTAAGGTATTTGGATAATTTGGCCCCCTTATGGCCCTTGTTTCTCACAGAATAAATTTTGATCCCATTTAAGCTCAAGTATAAATTGTATGTGTAAATTGGATAGCTATTTTTTGTCCCAGTTAAGTAATGTTCGATGCTCCAAGCTTGATCATGCTATTTGTGTTGTTTTGTGGTTCGCGTTAACCGTCCTGCTGCTCTTTGTAGCATTTATAAATGTGGTTTTTACTCTCAGCATATTTTACAGCCTTTCCAGACAGACTATAAAAAATGTTGGATGGATTAAGTGTGTTTTCAGGATCATGTGCTCAAATGGGCTCTATTGATTCTAACTATAGAAGCATCTCCTATTCGGATGTTTCAGTAATCAGATTTTGATAGATCGGCACTATTAATTTCTATATTTTCAGTGGCTATATTTACTTAACCCGCATCATATATGAATCCGTTGCCCATTTTCTGATTTCTGATATGGTTGTTCTCTCAGATGTTCACTCTATTATTTTTCTTGTCATGATTTTTCTAATTGTATGCATAGTCGATACACACAATACTAGCTGCAGAGCAGTTTTCTAGAAAAAAGCCTGCCTTATTGTCATTTGATTTTTTTTTCTTGCTCAATATGTTGATTATGCTCAATACTTCCTTTTCAAGTTAGCCTTTTTGTAAGATTGCACACTACTAAGTGGAATTTTCATTCTGTTATTAGGGCATTCATAAATCATCATTAAGGAATTTCACCACAGTAGCCTCTGTACCTGGAAAAAGTATACAAGGAACGAAACTTCTTGTCACGTCCGGGCCTCATGCTCAGAAAGCAGTTGGTATTTGGCTTTTTGTGTCAGCTGCTTGGGTCTTTAGTATGGTGGTACTTGGTGGTGTCACGCGGCTGACCAGATCTGGCCTATCAATGACTGACTGGAAATTCACAGGCGGTCTTCCTCCTATTTCGGATGATGAATGGTTGATTGAATTTGAAAAATACAAGCAGTCTCCCGAGTACAAGCGGTAATTTAACCTCCCACTGTCACTGGTTTTCTTATATATGATACATGCAGCTACTAGCTGTCAACTTTATTTGCTTAACATGTTCCGTGATGAAGGCATAAGTAGCTGCACTGGGTTCTTTTAAATTTTTCTTTACTTTGAAAATTCCTTCTTGGTTGCAGAATAAATAAAGGGATGAATCTTGACGATTTTAAGTTCATCTACTGGATGGAGTATGCCCACCGTATGTGGGGAAGGGCACTGGGTATAATGTTCGCATTGCCCTTCTCCTATTTCCTTAGGAAAGGTTACATTACCCTCCAATTAGGACTCAAGCTATCTGGCTTATTTGCTCTTGGCGCTGGTCAAGGACTAATCGGTTGGTGGATGGTCAAGAGTGGATTAGAGGTGATAAATAACTGAAAAGGATTAATTTATGTAAATTTGAAACTTATCCTAGATACAAACTTTTTTTTTGTTAAATAAAAATAAATAAATTATCTCTTTCTTTAGGAACCCGTGTCTGAGCATGCTGAACCAAGGGTAAGCCCTTACCGGCTTGCAGCTCATTTGACCTCAGCATTCATTATTTATTCTGGGCTTTTTTGGACCGCTCTTTCTGTTGTTATGCCTGAACCTCCCGCTGAGTCCTTAACCTGGGTTCAAGGGGCAGCAAAAGTCAAGCGTATTGTGCTCCCTGTGAGTATTCTTGTTGGGATCACCGCCATTTCAGGAGCATTTGTTGCTGGAAATGATGCCGTACGTTAGCTCTTCTTTTTGTTTCCTCAATTCTCTATTTTCATGCTCTCGGAATAGACTCTGTTGTGTTTTATTTGACCCGGCTGCGTTTGGTATTTCCAGGGCCGTGCATTTAATACTTTCCCCAAGATGGGTGATGTTTGGATACCAGATGACTTATTTAACATGAAGCCTCTAGTACGGAACTTCTTTGAAAATACAGCAACTGTGCAGGTAAATTGTTCCTTACCAATATGACACTTGAGTTTTAAGGCATGGATTATGCAAATTATAGATAAGAAAAAGATTCTGACAATTCTAGAAATGAAAATCAAGCTTTCAAAATTTTATGAAGTGAAAATCTAGCATGAATTTATATATTTAACAATTTTAGTTATTTTCTCATCTGAAAATCACTGTCGATGTTGTTTCTTATTTCCTTGTTTGCTCCATACGAGCAACATAACTAATAAATGCTTCAGAATTGTAGTTCTGTTTTGCATATTATGAGAATGTATAAAGATCTAAGCCGTACACACGCGGATAAATTCATGATACTTCATCTATGCTTTAAATGGAGGAGTTTCTGCCGTTAATTGTTTAGTAATACATCCTACATGTGCTTTGTTCTCGTGCTTATATATTGCTAAGAGAGAGATGAGGAAAAAACAGCCACAATCAAGTAATTAGTTCCAACTTGCAACTCTCTATTAAGTGCAATCTAAATATGCTTCAACTATTGTATTTGCTTGTTTTATACTTTTATTTTCTTATTTGTACCAGCTCGACCATAGAATACTTGCGACTGCAACCTTATTTTCAATTGGCGGCTTGTGGTGGTCAACAAGGAAACTCGATATACATCCTGCAATACGGTCTTTAATAGGAAGCACCGTGGGCATGGCCGTTCTTCAGGTACCACTCAACCATGATATTATTGCTTTCCCTTTCTCCTTCTGTATGAAAGTGTAACTTAACTTCAATAGAACCCTTACAAAGGTAATTAGCACAAACTACTGTTTGGGTAAGAAATTGTCCAGTTAATTATCTTTTCCCTTTTTATTTGAATTTCTCAATGCAGGTGACCTTAGGGATATCAACTCTGCTATCTTATGTACCGGTATCTCTTGGGTCTGCTCATCAGGCTGGCGCCCTAACTCTTCTAACCCTAATGATTCTTCTGAACCACACTTTGAGACGACCTTCCTTACACCTTCTGAAAACACTTCCTTCTATAGCAAAAACTGCATGACAATTCACAATACTTTTGAAGTGATTATTACTTTGTGCAACGGTACAAAAATTAGAATAATGTGTAGTTTAATGAAGATGGAGCAACCTGGCTCTATACTTGCTACAGTTTCCCTGGCATTTTAGTGTAGCAATATCAAAAATTGTACTCAGATGTGCTTTTGACTTGGTGGTGATATAAATTAGGCAGAGGATTTCTTCATGTTTATTGTGAAACCAAATAATAATTCCGTCGGCTACATTACACATGTAGCAACAAAGATGTCAACATTTCGGTTAAACTTGTGGTTTTACCTTCCCTCGTAGAGATTGAGATGGTGTGGAACACATCTTCGGGACTATTCTACTATGCCTTTCCCGCATATGGGTAGTATTTATTCAAGTGCAAACCTTCTGGTTTTGTAGATCGAGAACGATACACTTTTTATCGTAATATAATCTCTTTTATTTTTTCATTGCTATGATATTGTGCCCCTAAGGTTTTAATATTATACTCGAGGCTTTTTTGTCATTTTGTTGCTCGTGCTAGCAGAATCTTGCTTTGGAGATGTGTTCGAAAATTCGTCCACTAAACTGTAATCAACCTACAATCAAGTGTAAGACTAGAAGGGTTGGTTCAGTTGGTAGCACTCTTCACTTGGGACCAATAAGTCTCGAGTTCGAGCCATACATGAGCACATGGGAAACTACATTTGATCCTCTTTAGAGGGGGAAAAAAAACCTACAATCAAGTGTTAAACAAGCTTGCCAAAAACCAAGATTTTACAACTTATTTTATTTGTGACCCAATTGCCCAACTCTGCTTTAATGCTATGTGATGGAATTCGAAACTCCTTATGCTGATAAAAATTGCAAAAGGAACACCAAAATATTGCACCAAAAGCCCTAATAATAGAAGCTTTTGCTTTTGATTGAATATTAGTTGACAAGCACCATAACCCAACTCTTCACAACAAGTAAAACAAAGCATACATTGTTACTTAAAACCTTCAAAATTGTAAATCTCTGATATGTCTAGACTAAGTGAAGCCTACTAGCAGCACTCATCTAGCTCCATTCACCACACTTGAAACTGACTCTAAACTCTTGGCCAATTCGGCTGCCGCCCCAATATAAGAATGGGGCGTCAAATCCAAAAGTCTACTCTTTGCATGAGTTGGGATATCTAAGCCTTCAATGAATCCTCTAATGCTTTCTCTTGTCACTTCTTGCCCTCTCGTTAGCTCCTTAAGTTTCTCATATGGCTCCGGTACACCATATCTTCGCATTACCTTAAAGAAAGAACGAAAAACAAGTAAATATTCGGTAAAAGTAAAACTTATTACAACGCAAACTAATATTTAAAGGTGTGAATGGCTAAAGGAGGTTTTATTATGACACGACAGTTCACAGAGCAAAATTTATGATCCATTTTAAAATCACTTCACATGTAATGAGAGAACATGAAAAGCAAATATGACATGCTACCAGTTTACATACCGTCTGTATAGGCTCAGCAAGCACCTCCCAAGACCTGTTCAAGTCTTCAGCCAACGAAGCTTCATTGACCTAAACCGCACAAGAGAAAAAGAATATCAACAGATGAAAGCTAGATGCCACAATATAGGAAACTCCACTTTTTAATAAAATATGGATTTTAATAACATTAAATTAATTATCCAAGTATTTATTCTTTACCTGTAGCTTAGTGATTCCCTTTATTGTGGCTTTATAAGCAAGAAGAGAGTGCCCCAGTCCAACACCCATGTTCCTCAGAACAGTTGAATCAGTCAAATCTCTCTGCAGAGAGAGAGAGAGAGAGAGAGAGAGAGAGAGAGAGAGAGAGAGAGAGAGAGAAATGATTAAAAAGATTAAAAAACTCATTGGAACAAGAATGATATGGGAGGGGGTTGTAATTATTCTTTACTACCTTATCAAGTTTATACCTGCCAGCGGGAAATAGGCAACTTAAAGCTCAAGTGCGATAAGGCTGCATTTGCAACTCCACAGTTTCCTTCACTGTTTTCAAAGTCGATTGGATTTACTTTGTGGGGCATTGTTGAGGACCCAATCTCACCAGCCTTAGTAATCTGCTTATATTTGAGAATGCATCAGGACCACTTCCAATAGTAGGAGCAGAAAAAACAAGAGCAATGATATATTGTTCTTTCCTAACCTGCTTAAAGTGACCCAAAGAAATGTAACCCCAAATGTCTCTGTCAAAGTTAATTAAAATATTGTTGAACAGGCTGATAGAGTTGAAAATTCTGGCCATGTAGTCATGAGATTCAATCTGGTATTTCAAGACAAATTAGTTAAAAAGAAATTAGTTCAAAAATTGAACAAGTATTCTATTTCCAGAATGAAATATAAATGCTAAGGCATCATTAGTTCTTAGAAATGTTTATTATTCATCGGCACACCTGAGTAATAAAAGGATTAAAACTTATTCCAAGAGATGTGACAAACTCTTCTGCAACTTGAGGCCAATTAACATCAGGATAAGCAACCAAGTGAGCATTGTAGTTTCCAACAGCTCCAGCAAACTTTCCCAAAATTGCAATACGGGATAATTCTTTCCGTTCTTCACTTAGTCTATGTACAAATATTGCCATTTCCTTCCCCAACGTTGTTGGTGATGCCGGCTAACAAAAAAAAATAAAAAAATAAAAATAAGAAAAAGATAAAAGAAAGAAAGAAAAAAAGAAAGAAAGAAAGAAAGAAAGAAAGAAAGAAAAGGCAAAAAGAATGACATGATTAAATTAAACATTCAGTTCTCGCTAATAACTCCACAAAAGAAACAACTATCAAATAGAGTATTCTTCACAACAATCTTGATGACAGAACGTTAACCAGGTTAATACCATTGCCGCGAAACTTCATCTTCTCATGTCCAAATTACATAATATATCACAAAAGCACACAACATACAAAATATAATGAGCTGAGATAACTGATAGAAAATTTTTTACAGTCTGTAGGAGGCAAAGTCTGCAATACAAAATATATTTAAATCTTTTTACACCCAAAACTATTTACCTGTCCATGAGTTCGAGAGAGCATAGGAATGGAAGCATTGACAGTGGCTAAGTTACAAATGACAGAGATCAATTTGTCCATTTCTGGTACTATCACTTTGTTAAGCGCTTCTTTCAGCATCAATGCATGAGCTAGATTGTTAATATCCTCAGATGTGCATGCAAAATGGAAGAACTCGAGCACCTACATTGAAACCGGTATTAGATGGCACATGAAAGAATCCCGCTAGTTTTAATAAAGTGACTAAAAGAGGTGAAGAAAAAGACCTTATAGAAACATAATAGAAAAAGTTAAAAAATATAAATTAAATCATGCTATATTCAGGATACATTTTCTTGTAGGTACAAATCAGGACAAGAACTAACAGTATATGTACCTTAGATATCTCCGGATGCGACTGACATCTTTGTTTTAGGAAGTATTCAACTGCCTTCACGTCATGGTTAGTCACTTTTTCAATTTCCTTCACTTCCAAGGCATCATTCAGGTTAAATGAATCAATTATTTTTTGAAGATAAGACTTGGCATCTCCAGAGAAGCTCGGGACCTCGGGGAATTCGGACATTTGAGAAATCTTCAACAACCACCTAATCTGATAAAAAGAGATGTGAAAGGTGTAAGCAATTTATTGGGGATTGAAGTTTTAAAAGTAATCTAAAGCAGTAGATTAGATTATATACATGACCTAAAGAGGACTGTGCTATAGCTAAACGTGAAACGTTCTGTATAGTTTAAAAAACTAAAAGAGTATTAAAAAGGTAAACTACTTTACGATCATTCTAGTTTAAAACAGTGAATTGGATTAGATACTAGTTTAATTTTTTTGCCATGCTTCATCTTCTGATTTAAGAAACAAAGTACCAGTAATAATAACCAATCAAAATCAAGACAATCATGATTCAGCTGTTGCTATTCGCGCCCTCGGACAGGTCTCATTTGTCACATCTCCTAATGAGAACCCAGGACTCAGTCACATCCAATTATATTATCATATACAATCTCCCTTCATTTCAATCTATTGTAACTTGGTATTATAGCTCATAGGAACAGGATGAAAATACATTACCTCAACCTATAAACAATATAAACAAGCTTGAATTACCTCAACCAGCACTCTGTATTTAATAAGGCCAAATTCACTAAGAAAAGGTGACAAGTCCTTGACTTTATCCCAATAACGGCCATCCAATGGGCACAATAACTGCACACCTAGCCGCTCAATGTCCAATGAAGAATCAGCTGCAGCCATCATTTTTACCTGTGAATGAGATTCAATTATAATCAAGTTACACATAAACTTCTACAGTGTCTAAGAGGGGCATCAACGTTATAATCTCACTCAACACACAGAAAGGACATAAAATGACATCACGACAGATCCAATCTTTTCATAAGGAGAAATGATGTGGAGACATTCCTGTTGGGAGGCTTGCACCATTTCGTGTTCCATGAAATTATCTTAGTTCTTGAAAAGACAGTAATATATAAGCAAGATGGATAATGTCCAACAAAATGTGTTCTCTAATTTTAAATGCACTAAATACTATACCACAAGTATGCATCGCCATTCATGCGCAATGTTCTCACAAGCACATATATGTCGTAAAAGCTCTATAAGCAACATCCAACTGAGGTTAGGAATCATTTGTTCATATTGATTGTCCAAACATCAACAAAAGTTTATTATCCATCAGCGGTGAACAATATAGTTCTTGTACGCCTGCATTTCATCAAATACCATAAATTTGACGGACATTGAGGAATAGTTCCACACTTCAGCTCGAATTCAACTACAATTTATCCTTTATATACTCTCTTTTCACTCCACAACAAAATCCACCGTAAGGCAATTGTAAAGCTTCAAACACTATGCTTAAACAGCACGAGAAAGGATCAGCGCCCAGGAACTGTTCGATCACTTAACCAACTGAATTACCTAAGCACAAATTTCAAATGGTAAATCTTACCTTCGGCGCGAATTTCGGGTTGATATCCTTGGTAGATACTCTCCAGAAGGAACTCACAGGAGCACGAACGGAGACGCATGAGGAAGCACGGTTACTGCAATAACCAGGCGAACTTGCGTTGTTAATGGGGAGAATACATAGCGCCGAGTTTTTTATGTACGCACCTACTCTCAGCTCCATCGTTTCGGGTGGGAGATGGCGGCGCGTGAAGCTAGTGGAGTGAAAACCAGCTGAAACTGCGAGGAAAGATTGGGGCAAACTGGCAAAGTGCAAACTTCTGTAATATTGATTCAAACTCCCATATGTTTTAAAAATTGCATCACTGTCCTTTCGTGATAAGTTTAGTTTTTACTTATATAATATGTTGGTAAAATTAGCTGATAAACTAGTTGATAGTTGTTAGCTAATAAGTCAGTTTATAGCTTATATGTAATTTTCGAGCTTATAACTTATAACTTATGACTGAAAGCTGAAAAACTAACTTATATGATAAAAAGTGTTTGATAAAATTAGTTGATAAGGTGGCTGAAATAAAAATTTCAACTAGTTTATTTGAAAAACTACCTAAAAAATTTATGAAATAAGCTTGAGTTTTTTAAAAAAATTTATCCTACCAGACAAGACTTATTTAAATACAAGAAATTTATAAATTAACTAAATAAACTATGAGCTAGTTTATTTGACTACTCGATTTTAATGTTTTGGTTATGGTATTCACAAGTCAAATTTGTTGCTTTGAAGACTTTAAATAGTTGTTTTGTAGTAGGTTCATAAACTACTGAAATTGAATTGGTTAATATTTTGTTGACCGAGGATTGAGGAAACAATTATGTTTCATGTAATTTTATTAATGTTGTTTATATTTCAAAGATGTAATGTGATATTATTTTCTTATAATATAATTTTAAATATTATGTAGTTATGTAAATTTGCTGGTCATGTTGCTTCTGTGAAAAAGAATATCATTTATTATATAAATGCATTTTATTCGAAGTGTGAACAAATTAATATAGAAGTTGGACCATGAGTATTTATTTAATTACACGGGTGCAATTTGAATTTGATTTATAAACAAACAATTTGTCCTTCCAATTTTGACTTTTCTATTCATTATTTTGACTTTACTTTCATTTCTTTTAAGTTTGGCATGCATTTAGCATCCATATCTTTCCTTTTTTTTTACTTTTTTTTTCTTATTAAATATGAATTTAACTTTTACTTTTTAAAACTTAAAGCTTCATTATTTTTTTATCCATTTATATATATAATTTATCAAATTGATTATTCTATTATAATCATTGGTTTGTCATCAATACTGCGTATGTCATATAATAAAAAATATTATGCCTTTATAATATGAAATTAAGTTTATAAATCGAATTGATTTAAATATAATGAATGGGTATAAAATTATCGAGCAAAAATAAAGCAAAAATGTGTATTGAATAAAAATTATTCATCAAATAATATTTTTAGCAAAATTATCCGTCTAAAAATTTATTCTAAAATTATAAAAGTAGTTGTGAACAATTATTTCAATCATTAAGTATATATGACATAAAAGATAAATACCCACATTAATTAGTAGCTCGATAAGAAAAATCATAATATTCTCATAAATTAATTGATAATTTATCAAAAACAAAATTAAAAGACTATTGAACTTTGTAGCTAAAAAAAAAATAGTACTAACATTCTACAATGGCGGCATTTTATTTCCCCTTCGTTCAACAATGGCAGTCTCTCTTTATGTGACCAAACCAATCCCATTTCACAATGTACAACCACTTTCCCACTGACAAATTCAGGTACATAATTAGCTCCTATCCCAATTTCTTAGATCTGCGACTTAATTCGATATCTCTCGCATTGCAGATAAGCTTGGCGACGTAAAAATGTCGACGGAGAGCAGCGAGAAATGGGTTCTGACGCTCACGGCGCAGACTCCGACGAACATAGCGGTGATAAAGTACTGGGGGAAGAGGGACGAGGACCTCATCCTTCCGATCAATGATAGCATTAGCGTCACTCTCGACCCCGATCACCTCTGCACCACAACCTCCGTTGCCGTCAGCCCCGCTTTCACCCATGATCGAATGTGGCTCAACGGCAAGGTATCATTAATTCAATCATGGCTATTTCATGCCTATTTGATTTGGGTATTCTTACTTCTGTTGATGATGGTAGGAGTTAGATGTTAATATTGAGCATTATCAGCTAATTCTGTTGGTGATTTGTTAATTTTTTTTATTTTTTTTTTAAGTTTGGAGGAACTTTTGTTTTCATGGGACTTTTTGTAGCTGAAGTCATATTCTTCTGAGCTTCACCTCCTACAATACATTTGGGCTTTTGATTTGAGTTGAGGCGTAAATGGTCTAGCTGAATGTCAAAATATTTGGATTAAGATAAAAAGATCTGGTACTTTTTGGCTTTGGACCAGTTTCAATGAGCCACTTCTTCAACTGTGGTGCTCGGGTGACTGAAGAATGTGATTTGAGTTGAATCGTGATTGCGAATGGAGCAAGATCTATAACCTTTTCCATGAAAAGTTTTGTTTATGGCAGTGTCATTTTATAATATCTATTATTCGCTGAACAATTTTAGTCGTTAAACTAAGTTTATGAGAATTGTTGAGTTTATATGTATAGTTGAACCATTTGTTGTTTATGGTTTATTCCCTTGGGACTGAGTGTTGTCTCTGCTTCAGTTATTAATTCAAATACATAACATTTTATTTCTTTCTGATCTTTATGATTCTCATGCTAATTCAAATACATAACACTATTTCTTTCTGATCTTTATGATTCTCAGGCATAAAGTTATTATGTAGAAGAGACACTAAATTACTTACTGATTTCAATTATTTGTTAATGTAGGAGGTATCTCTTTCCGGAGGCAGATTCCAGAATTGCTTGAGGGAACTTCGGTCGCGTGCTAGCGATGTTGAAGATGAGGAGAAGGGTGTTAAGATAGCAAAAAAGGACTGGGAGAAGTTGCATCTACATATTGTTTCTTTTAACAATTTCCCTACTGCTGCTGGTTTAGCTTCATCGGCTGCGGGTTTGGCATGCCTGGGTAATATTATATTCTCTCAGGGCTATGAAAATTACCGACAATGATGTTTCTCTTTCACACTGTTAGATTGATCTTCTAATGGTTTTGAGAACTAAAATATTACAGGGTTTGCAGTTCCGTAAATTAACTTATTAATTGAATTCCTTGAAATTCTTATTTTACACTTCCATATGATTCTGACTTTCTATTTGAATTTTGATAAAATGCCTTTATTGCTGATTCTTTCTGTAACTCATTTATAAACTTTCATGTTACATATGTTGGTGATTCTGACTTTCTATTTGAATTTTGAAGAACTGCCTATATTACTGATTCTTTCTGTAACAATGTGGCTGAACTCAATGGGTCGGCTTTTTTGTTTTTACCTTGCTTCTTGTATGCTCATCTATAATTGAGTTTTGATATAGGGTGACCCCTACTAATCCGAAATGGTGGAAGTTTTAAATGCTACCCTTTGCATCAAACCTGTTAGAAGATAAATTATGTATCATGCAAATATCAAATTGGTCAGATTTTGTAAAGTGCATCATTCATTGTATCTGATCTTTGCTTTGTCCCCACTTACCCTATCTTATGTAACTTTATTCACGTCAATTGTTTTTCTATACGTTAATTTTTGGTCCACGTGATGGTTGCTTATGAAAACTTCTTACTGTTTTCTCCTTTATTATTGTCCTATTGAATGTCTTTCCTAATATGCCTTGGTGCTTTCTTAAAGTTTATATTTCTATAGCTAGCTTGTTTCATGGATCAAGCATGCACATCAAATTTACTTTGTGCCTAGTTTTCAAGATACTTGATATATGAATATGCAGACTTTGGCATGCTGCTTTGACTAATTGACACTGTTGTATGTCCCGTTATTCATCACAATGACGATAATTGGTCAGTTCAACGTTCAACATAACTATCTTTAATGACAATATTTACTCTGATTGTATTTTTAGTTTTCTCCCTGGCTAAGCTAATGAATGTGAAAGAAGATCACAGTCAACTGTCAGCTATTGCGAGGTAACTAGATCTAGATCTGGTTGAACTTCATTGGTTCAAGTTCAATGGCTAGAAATATGTTTTGTTTAAAATTGAACTGAGTGGCTGATATACGACATCATCTTTATTTTTCTTTTATCCTTCTTAAGAGACCCTCTGATTTTCTCTGCTCATAAATACACATGATTTAAGTGTAAAGAAATTGAATAGTTTAAGACTCAAATTAAAATGCTTGTGTCTAAGTTTTGTTTTATCCTCATTATATCTTGTCTAGGTCAGACATTTTTAGTAAGAAGTTCAAGACATTATAACATAATTAGTTTTTAACTGTGTTCTTACTTACCAGACAAGGTTCCGGAAGTGCTTGTCGCAGCCTGTATGGCGGATTTGTCAAGTGGATCATGGGGAAAGTAAGCTAATTACTCATACTATTTTTTTGTTTTTTCTTCAAAAGTTTATTAATGATTATTGTGGTATTTGTAATCAATTTTCCTGGGTAACTGAAGGAAGAAAATGGTAGCGACAGCATTGCTGTTCAACTTGCTGATGAGAAGCACTGGGATGACCTTGTTATTATCATTGCAGTGGTGTGTACCCTACCTATTTTTCCTAACAATATGACACTTGGTCACCAACTTATCTTTGCTTTTTGCTTGTTAAGTAATGGTTTGATGTTAATTATGTTTCATGATAATCAATTACATATCCTCATAGTGTTCTCGACCCCACAAGCATATTTATTTTCCGTAAAGGGTGGAAGAAGTTTTTATTACTCTACACTTTTCTGTTCATTCAAATTGACATTTAGGTGGAATAATCAAACTCCTTTGTGTTATAATAATCATTTCTTTCTTTCTTTCCACCACAATCGGAGGATGCGCGATGACTGATTCATTTTCATATAATATGCATTTAACATGTGCACTGAACTATTAAGATATAAAGTATGATCTCTTAAAGTCTTGACTTCTCACTACTTCAGCTTTCTTGCTGAATATTTTTCTTGCCATTTGTCATCTCATGAAGCATCTATAAGCCGTCAACTTTTTTTCGTAGTGTTGGCGTCTACTAAACATAAACTATTTATTACTTTGTTTTCCTAGGGATGCTTAAAC